CACTGCTTTCCCCTTGATGGTTCCAGATTTATAAAGGTCTTTGGAGTTTTGTTCTTTTTTCTTTTCTTTTCTTTTCTTTTTTTTACAAATAGTTTATTGTCAAATTGGTTTCCATATAACACCCAGTGCTCATCCCCACAAGTGCCCTCCTCCATGCCCATCTCCTCCCTCCCCCCCACATCCATCAGCCCTCAGTTTGTTTCTCAGCATTCAAGAGTCTCTCATGGTTTGCCTCTCTCCCTTTCCCCCACCATTTCCCCCCTTCTTCTCCCCCGCGGTCCTCAGTTAAGTTCCTCCTTATCCTCCTATACGTGCAAACATGTGATATTTGTCCTTCTCTGCCTGACTTATTTCGCTCAGCATAACACCCTCAAGGTCCATCCATGTTGCTACACATGGCCAGATTTCATTGTTTCTCATTGCCATGTAGTATTCCATCATATAGATAAACCACATCTTCTTGATCCATTCGTCCATTGATGGACACTTAGGCTCCTTCCATGTTTTAGCTATTGTGGAGAGTGCTGCTATGAACATTGGGGTCCATGTGCTCCTATGCATCAGCATTTCTGTATCCCTTGGGTAAATTCCTAGCAATGCTATTGCTGGGTCATAGGGGAGTTCTATTGTTAGTTTCCTGAGGAACCTCCACACTGTTTTCCAGAGGCGCTGCACCAGCTTACAATCCCACCAACAGTGTAGGAGGGTACCCGTTTCTCTACATCCTCGCCAGCATCTAGAGTTCCCTAATTTGCTCATTTTAGCCACTCTGACTGGCGTGAGGTGGTATCTCAGTGTGGTTTTGATTTGTATTTCCCTGATGAGGAGGGATGCTGAGCATCGTTTCATGTGTCTGTTGGCCATCTGGATGTCCTCTTTGGAGAAGTGTCTGTTCATATCTTCTGCCCATTTCTTCACTGGATTGTTTGTTTTTCAGGTGTGGAGTTTGGTGAGTTCTTTATAGATTGTGGATATTAACCCTTTATCTGATATGTCATTTGCAAATGACTCTTTTTTCCATTTTTTCCATAGGCAACCATTCCGTCGGTTGCCTATTAGTTTTGTGGGTTGTTTCCTTTGCTGTGCAGAAGCTTTTGATCTTGATGAGGTCCCAATCATTTATTTTTGCTCTTGATTCCCTTGCTTTTGGGGATTCTGTTCTTTTTTTTTTTTCTTTATGCCCTACATGTTCCCTCTGAGAGGTTTTACCCCATGCATTTGTGTCTTATGGTCTGCTGACATTTATTCTAATATACTTCCACTTAAATCTTCTCTCCTGATCCTTTATTCACTGAAACTCATCCTGGGTTCTTGCATGGATCTCAGTTTACTATAATATTTGTGTCTCTCTCAGAATTTTAATTTTATACCTTTGAGTACAGTGACCCATTGTACATAATATTTGAAGGTGAAATACATGACATTTTAACTTCTGATTTGGCTTACAGACTTCCAACCCTATTTATGTTATGCTATCAAACTAGGAAGCATGTCCTGGCTCTCGTCCTGTGAAACTGAATCCTGGATACCACCTACTTGGTTAGTACTTCTAACAAGTAAATCTTGATTACCACAACTTCCTTCTCCCCGCAAAAAGGAAGTAGTGTCTATGTGACACTGAAATAGTGCTTCTAAATACTGGGGCACAGTGGGCCAATGTCTTTCAGAGAGTCAGTGTTTTATTGAAGGAGTTATTTCTTTACAATCTCCTCTCCTCAGGTGATATTTGGATTATTTTATTCTTTTGTAACTCTGAGGATTATGATAGTTGAGCTCTAGGCATACCAAGAAAAGACAGGGAGACATCAAGGTTGAAGAATGATCTCAGAAGACTTGAATTTCTTATTGAAGGTCTGTTCAGGAAAGATATTTTCTTTAAAACTCATGAATTCAGTGTTTTCCATGTCATCTTTACTGACTTTATTAAAGACAGAAAACAATGAACATGAAAACGCTGAAAAAGGAAGGAGGAAGTGTAAGAGGAGAGGAGAGGATGCAGAGGTCCCGGATAGTTCTGAGCCCTCAGGAGTCTCAAGGGAGTAGACCTCAGATGCATTCCACAACTGATGGCAAGTCAGTGAATAACAGGGGACCAAGCACAGAGACAATGAAAAATAATCAAAAGCTAACAGGAACATAAAGGAAAATGGAGAGACAGTCACTTTTGTATAGAAAAGTGATCCCAGAAAGGACATGGGAATGTGAAACCAGGAAGGGAAAAGAGCCAACCCAGGAAGCATCAATGAGCATGTTCCCACTGTGTGAGAATTTCAGAAATTTGTGTAGAATACACCTCAGAGTTACCATACTATATGACTAGTAGATAATTTAATAAGCAAGGACACTGAGGTGTCTAACCACTCACTTCTTACTGTCATTGAGAAGCTCTGCTCCAGGGAGCACCAGCTCTCTGACAACTTCATGCTTTTCCATGCACTAGGTAAGCAGTTCTTGCCACCAGATAAACCCTTAGACAGAGTTACAAGTGAGTGAGGTAAGACATCATATGCATTCATGGAAATAGTGAAAGGCAAGGAGTTATCAAAGAAGGACTGAAAGCATCTTCATGAAAGGTACATGGTGGGTCTCAAAGATTTAGTTAAAGCTAATCTACAAGGCTTGGAGTAGGATGAGGCTAATGAGGAGCCATTGGCACCTTATTTTTCTTTTTTAAGTTTTTAACTAAATTCCAATTAGTTAACATACAGTGTAATATTAGTTTCAGAAGTAGAATTTAGTGATTCATCAATTGCATACAACATCCAATGCTCATAACAAGTACCCTTCTTAATGCCCATCACTCATCTAGCCCATCCCCTAACCACCCCGCTCCATCAACCCTCAGTCTGATCTCTATAGTTATTTATGGTTTGTCTCTCTCTTTTCCCCCCATGTTCATCTGTTTTGTTTCTTAAATTCCACATGAGTGAAATCATATGGTATTTATCTTTCTCTGATTGAATTATTTTGCTTAGTATAATAGTCTCTAGCTCTATCCATGCCCTGCAAATAGCAAGATTTCATTCTGTTTTTAAAAAAATTTTAACATTTATTTTTTAATTTTTTCTAGTAGTTTATTGTTAAGTTGATTTCCATATAGCACCCAGTGCTCATCCCCACAAGTGCCCTCCCCCATGCCCATCACCCCCCTTCCCCTCCCTCCCACCCCCATCAGTCCCCAGTTTGTTCTCAGCATTCAAGAGTCTCTCATGGTTTGCCTCCCTCCCTCTCCCCCACTATTTTCCCCCCTTATTCTCCCCCACAGCCCTTCATTAAGTTCCTCCTAATCCTCCTATACGTGCAAACATATGGTAGCTGTCCTTCTCACCAAACTCCACACCCAAAAAATAAAATTTTTAACATTTATTGATTTTTGAGAGACAGAGAGTGAACAGAGGAAGGCAGAGAGAGAGGGAGACACAGAATCCGAAGCAGGCTCCAGGCTCCAAGCTGTCAGCCCAGAGCCTGATGCAAAGCTCAAACTCATGAACCATGAGATCATGACCTGAGCTGAAGTCCGCCGCTCAACCAACTGAGCCACTCAGACACCCCAAGATTTCATTTTTTTGATGAGTGAGTAATATTCCATTGTATAATATATCACACCTTCTTTATCCATTCATCAGCCGATAGACATTTGGGGAGCCATAGGGACCTGACTCTTTTTTAAAATTTTTATTTATTTATTTATTTATTTATTTTGAGAGAGAGGGAGAGAGAGCACACAGAGTGGAGGGGAAGATAGAGAGGGAAAGAGAGAACCATAAGCAGTCTCCACTCTGCCAGTGCGGAGCCAGACCTAGGGCTCAAACTCATGAACTGTGAGATCATGACCTGAGCTGAAATCAAGAGATGCACACTTACCTTAGTGAGCCATCCAGGTGTCCCTAGGCACCTTACTCTTAAGGAAGCACTCACTTTCAGGGTTGTTCACTTGCAGGATAGGCCCTTGAGTGACTGTAGGAGTGGGCGTCACCTTTACTTTGGTGCCCTGGACACCACAGATACCTCACACTAGTCCTGGCCCTGCTGATCTTGTGAGAGAACAAGAGGCTTTTCTACATCAGCAACGCTGAATGGAAACTGAGGGAGTGTCAGTTATCTAAAAGACTCTGTCCCTCAAAAATGATGGGCAATAGTGGAAACTGAGTCTCTTCCCTACATGAAAAAAATGGGCTGGAAAGAAGGAGATGAAAAAGCACCTCCCAGCCAATAGACCAGTGCTCAGGCTGGCCTCCCAATGGGGACAGTCACTTGAGAAAGTTTATGTGAGTTAAGTCAGGTCACATAGCTGAGTAGTAACCTTACTGACTCTACAGCCAGTCTTCTGTAGCCTGTTCAGTATCATAACTGGTTCTTTTGCTGGTCTTACTCTCCCGTCCCTCTTGAGAGAAGAGAGGATATCTAGAATTGGTAATACTAACACAGATAACTAGACCAAGCCTTGGATTAAGGCTAATTTAAGAGTTGTGTAAAGGTATTCATCCTCAGCATACCAGCTAGCCCTTAGGCATTCAATAGCTGGGAGTCTTCCTTTTTCATAGAGGATTATGAGAGTCAGCATCCAGACTCTTCTGACAGACTGGACGCCAGAGTAGCATCAGCCACATGAATGTGCCATCAATGAAGAGCTGTTGAGAACAGCTATTATCACATTCTTTGTACTGGGGCAGAAGACTCTCTGGAGCTGTTTTATAGGGGGAAAGTCCCTAGAGAGTAAAAAGTAATTGAAGATTAGACTAGTAACCAATTCTAGAAGTAGAGTCAGACCCCAGCCTGACTATAACACTCTTCCCTTAACTGGCTACAGCAAAATATTTGGTATTGGGGGCCCTACTGGATTCACACACCGCCTTAGTCACAGCAGGAAGAAGGTTTTGTAGGAAAAACACTGCAAACCCACAACTCATGGAAAACATTTCTGTCACTTTAAATTGTCACTACTGGGCCCTCCCACCCTCCCTCCCGGGGCTCTGAGCTCTCAAAGGCTCTAGACTTCCTCCCTGCTCTCCCGAGGAGCAGGCTTCTGCACTCACAACCGAAGGGAAAGCACCAGATCAGGGGCTTCTTGAGCCAAAGTCAGAGCCTGTCACCACTTCTGCAGGAAAGGTGAGCGCACAGGGGAGGGGGGTTGCCTGGGAGAGGGAGCTGTAACCAACCAGAAGGAAAATGGATCGGAGAGTCTACCGCCAGAACATCTGCTCTCCACCAGACACCATGTGGGTGAGTAAGAGGCAGATGTTCTGAGTTTCAAATAGAGCAAGGAGGTTCAGAGAAAGTTTGATGAGCACATTCTCCAGGCCAGAGGACACACATCCTTGTTTAGGGCCAAAACCTGTCTCCTCTACACTCTCATCATAAGGGAGACCTACCCTCTCACTAGAGGAGTGAGTGCTGGAAGCATTTCCAGGAACAAAATACATTTTAAAAGGGATTAAAAAGACTGTCCAAACTGCATATTCAGCAAAGGCAAAAGATATTTCTGTGGACCTATAAACAGTCTAACCTCAGAGCAAGTTACAATGTGACAATGTAGACATTTGGGAGCATATTCCCCCCACCCATTCTCCTTCTCACTGCCCCCACGACAGGGCCCTCGGGAGACATCTGAGATTAGGAACTTGGTCTTCAGCCCCTCTCCTTGCATGACCCCACCTCAAAGGTCATCTGTTTCCTAATTCAAGCTTCCCATCCCCCATCCTGGCTGCAGGGACACCTCCATTTCCTCATCAGTACAATGCAAGAGTTTGAATAAGTCCCGGATTCCAAACTGATTGGTGAACTGATTGTATCAGACATATCAGATCAAGAAGAAGAATCTCTGAGGATGGTCCCCAAAACGTATATTTTTAAAGAATACTCAAGTATTCTGAAACACACCAAGTTTGGGAGACGCTGAACTAGAAGAACTTTGAAGACTCAGAGTATTAAGAATATAGATTCTCATGTTTTATAAACTTCAATTGTTATAGCCATTTGTTGCACCAGATTTAAACTGGGGCTTACCTCCCTCTAAAAAATTATATAAAAATCATTTTAACCCCTTTCCAAAAACTTTGGAAATCCCAATGACCTATTCAAAAGTTCAGTGGATTTCCAAGAGCACACTTTCTCATTTCCATCATCGACGGGGACTTCTTGTTTTAGCTAAATTCTTGTGCTTCGTACTGAATCTTCTGGCTGTTTCTTCAGTTCTGTTGTGTGGTCAGTTATGGGAGTTTGCTGATTTTTACACACAAGATCACTACTCACCTGAGGCCTCTGGGATGAACTTTACCAAGGGCGTTAGGGAGCCAGCAGGGAGTTACCGTAGAAGGCAAACTTGTCATCTAACTGGTCAGAGACAAGTTATCAATCAACCACTCCCTTTGCTTGTCCTTATGTGGTACCCCTGGGACACAGCACGGTTACCTGCAGTAACCAGGTGTCCCCATGAAGAGGTAGCATTTGAAATGGCCGGTGGAGCACAGACAGGACTCAGACAGAAAAATGGGAGAGAATCAGTGGTCGTGGGGGTGAGAACACAGGAGGGCAAGGAAAGGCCCTGAACCTGTCCTCTGCGGAGCAGCTGACCGCGATGGGGAGTGAGTGGGACACAGGGCTGGAGGAGAAGACGGAGCAGAGCTGTGCCCTTGTGTCCAGGTCGTCGTGAGATCGGACCCACTTCGTGGCTGAGTGGCTAGCTGTAGGAAATCCTGCTGGACCTGAGTATCATCGCTTATTTGAGAAGCCTCAGATTTGGGGCAGGAAGAGCAGAAGCCAGAGGGGAGTGACCCATCTCTCCAGCACACAGGTCGTATCTACACAGATGACATGAGCCGAATTATTTAGTTCTCTGAGAGCAGATCACAGGCTCTTCAGATGAGCATGGGAGATTGGTTTCTTTTTCAAATTCCAAAACAAAATACAAAATTTCTTCTTATATTTTTCCCCCAGGCCAACCGCCCTAAGGTGGATGAGCAGATTAGCTAATTCTCAGGGTTTTCGTAAGTGACCCTGGCTGCGGAATCTCCTGGGAAATCTTTGTGCCTACAGCTTATGCCACTGCATAGACTCCCTGGAAACTTAACAGCTAAGGCTCCCTCACTAACACGGAGGACGAGGTATCACCTCCCCTCTGTCTTCTGCATTCGGGGCCCCTGAAAAGGGCTCACCAAGTGTTCTCACGGTGTCGCTCCAACGCCAACCGGGTCCTTCCGGGGTTCCTCCCCAAATCCCGCTGTTCAGGGGAGGGCAGGAACCGTGACCGTTTCCCTGGGCTGTCACCGCCTCTTTGGACCTTGCCGGAGCCACCGGAGATAGTTATGTCTCTTCGATGAATGAATGAATGACTGCATGAATGAAGGAACGAACAGCTTGTGTTTGGAACTCTTTCAGGTAGGCATGGGAGGACGGAAGATGGCAAGAGATGAAGAAAATGCCTATGGTAAGAGCTGATCTCAGTGGGTACTTGCCCCTAGGCGTCCGCTCTGGGTCACAAGGCCATGGGCTAAGTCAAGACTGAACAGAGACAAATCCCAGACGTGTCCCCACGCTGGGGTGAAACAGCAAGAGCCCCGGCTTGGCATTTTTGCTGGACCTCTGCCCCTGTCCTACTGTGGGACATTAAGCGCCCTGACAAGCCTGTGTCTTGCTTGGGTCCCAAAGGGTACAATGAGCATAACAAATCTACCCTGATCCCCATAGATGCGGAGGCTGTGAGATCCTGGACTAGAGGGAACACGGTTTAGCCGGGAGAATGTTAGGGAACAAGGATGGAGGACTAAGGGTATCTTGCTGGCAGCAGGCTGAATAGAGAGAGGGCGGAGGGGAAGCGGGAGGCAGGGAAGCAGGAAAGAGACCACGTCGCCTAATCCTCTGAGCAACCCCGGGAGAAGCAGCTCCGTCACCCCTCCCCTTGTGCACAAGAGGCTGGAGGCTTACCCTCAACGTCCCCAAGGCTCCACAGCTGGCACGTGCTGGGCTGTGATCCCAACCCGGGGTGTCTGGGACTCCAGACAGCCCTTAGCTCCGGGCCTGCTGTGCCCTCCCGCGTGGCCTCGCTGGGATGGCCTCTGGGAGAAGTCTGGCAGAGGCCACGGAAGTCGTCAAGCACCGAACCGCCCTGCACGGTGCGGACGATCAGAGGCAATGGCAGCTGAGGTCACGGCCTGCGCGCATCGAGGGGGACCCTCCAGAGCGACGTGCACCCGGTGCGCAGCTCGGACAGGTGCACGCGCTGAGGCCGAAGATGGGAGGAAGATGGCTGAGGTGCCCCGGAGCCGCCCCAGCGGTAGCCAGAGCGCCTGCAAAGGCCCGGTTGGAAAAGCAGAAGCGGGGAGCGCGGCCGTCCTCGTCTGTTCGGCCCCGCGGGAGCGGGCCTCGCGCTCGCAGGCCGGCGGCCCACTCCACTCTGTTCTCGCAGGTTCGGACGACAACCGGGACGCCGAGCAGCCGCTGGCGCAGGAGCCCAGGCTCCGGCTCATCCTGGCCGGCAGGACCGGAGCGGGCAAGAGCGCCACGGGCAACAGCATCCTGGGCCACAGGCGCTTCCCGTCCCGGCTCGCGACCGCCCCGGTGACCAGGCGCTGCGACGTGGGGAGCCGCCGCTGGGCCGGCTGGCGCGTGGAGGTCACCGACACCCCCGACCTCTTCAGCGCCCAAGGGCGGCACGCAGACCCGGACCGCACCGAGCGGGCCCGCTGCTACGTGCTGTCGGCGCCCGGGCCGCACGCGCTGCTGCTCGTGACGCAGCTGGGCCGCTTCACCACCCAGGACGAGGAGGCCGTGCGCGGCGTCCGCGATCTCTTTGGGGCCGGCGTCCTGGCGCGCGCCGTGGTCGTCTTCACGCGCCGGGAGGACCTGGAGGGGGCGTCGCTGCACGACTACGTGCGCGCCACCGACAACCGCGCGCTGCGGGCCCTGGTGGCCGAGTGCGGCGGCCGCGTGTGCGCCCTGGACAACCGCGCGGAGGGCGCCGAGCGCGAGGCGCAGGTGGACGAGCTGCTGGCGCTGGTGGAGCGGCTGGCGCGGGAGCACGACGGCGCGCCCTTCACCAACGACGCGTACGGCCTGGCGCGGGCGCGGCGCGACGTGCGCCCCGAGGACAGGCTCCGCCTGGTGGCCGAGTGGCTGGCGACCCGCGGCCTGGGGCGGGGTTGGGGGTGGGGGCGTCGCTGGCTGGAGGCCGCGCGGCGGAGGTGGCCTCTGGCTCTCCTGCTGCTGGGGGGCGCGCTGTTACTTGTCCTGCTGTTCTTCCATCGGGGGATCCAGGTCCACATCGAAGGCGCTGCCGGTCAAAATGCGGGGAGCCTGGCGGAATAGGGGCTGAGTCAAGGCACTGAGCAGGACTTAAAACCACTTTCAATGGAAACCTGGAGTTTCGAACGCAGATTCTTAATGACACAGGAAGCCTTGAACACTGTATCTACTTTGCAAAGGGTCAAGTTCACTTTTAAGTATTTAGGTGTCACTTTTAACTGTGCAGTTTTCAAATAAATGTGTCTAACTTTATTTTTTAGTTTTTTAATGTTTTATTTATTTCAGAGAGAAAGAGAGAGAGTGAGTGAGCAGAGGAGGGTCAGAGAGGGAGGGAGACACAGAATCTGAAACAGGCTCCAGGCTCTGAGCTGGCAGTCAACACAGAGCCCGACTGGGAGGCTCGAACCCACGAACCGTGAGATGACTTGAGCCGAAGTCGGGCGCCCAACCGACTGAGCCACCCAAACGCCCCTAAATGGGTCTAACTTTTAAACGTCCTTAATTCGTGAAAAGGCTCAAGTTCGCTTTTAAATGTTTGGTGTCACTTTTCACTATTTGTACAGTTTTCACATAAATGTATCAAATTTCAAACGTCCTTAATTCGTGTTAGTAGTTGGGATGCAGTTTTCCTTTCTCGAAAAAATAGTGAAATGGCTCGTAGTGTTTAGTAGAAAGTGGATTCATAGCAAAGGGAAACATTTTTATTTTGAACATTTATCAAAATGTAGACAGTGTCATAGTCCGCTTGAGTTGCTATTAAAAAAAGAACAACACCACAGACCAGCCGCTTATAAACAGCAGAATTTTCCCCATGATTCTAGAGGTTGGAGTCCAAGATGGAGATGCCATTTCAGTCAGGGTCTGGTCAGAGACCTCTCTGGGTTGCAGACTGCTGGCTTCTGGCTGTGTCCTCACAGGGTGGAAGGGATGAGCCCGCTTTCTGGGGCCTCTTTTATAAGGACACAATCCTCAGTTATAAGGGATCTACCCTCTTGACTGATCCAGCTCCCCATGGCCCCACTTCCTAAAACCATCCTCTTAGGCATGAAGTTTAAAACATGTTGAGAAGACACAAACACTCAGAGCAAAGCAGACGCTGATCCTTCCTGATACCGTTCTAGTTCTTATGCCCGGCGAGATCTGTCCCTTCGTGACCCTTGGATGCTTTATTATCAGCAGTGAAAGTGATATCAGGGTCATACACATTAATGTTTACTTCTGATACATCGGTTTATTTACTTTACAATAACTTACTGCCAAAAGATAAATGTAACTCTACTGAAAATAACACAGTTTCCAAGTTTCTAGCACTTATTATGGCTCATGTCTTTTCAAAGTGAGGTAGAAATTTGGGCAATGTCTTCATTTTGCTTCTCAGTGGATTTTTATGGAAAACAAACAAACAAGAACAACAACAAAGCCAGAGATCGTCTCACACAGTGGAGAAGACAGGGAGCCACGGGTGCGCTGGTGGACAGCCTCAGACCCCCTGAAATTCGCCTGCTATGGTGGCACCATGGACTTTAATGAGGGTAGGACAGCCCATGAAAGTGCTTGAACGTCACATCAGAAAACCAGACGCCATCCTTAGGCTGTGTAACCAACCGATAGGGTTTCCTTATTGCTATGTCAGAATGTGACTGAACACTTTCAGGGACTAGGTTCTTCTCTTCAAATGAGCCGTGCTCAAGTCCGGCGGTGTGGATGCAACAGGAGGCATCCACTCACCTGGCCCGGGTTCAGGGGCTGGAAGGAGGGTGGTATTGGGGCAGCCAGTTACATGTGGAGAAGGTGGCTGTTGGGGGACAGCTAGGGCCGTCCTAGCTCCACGTGGATTAGAAGGGCCCGCGCACCTGTGCTTAGATGTCAGGAGTTCTTGGGGTGGCCGAGTGGGGGTGGCAGGTTGGACTTCGGGGTTACGGTGAGCTGTGGTCAGGAGGCCTGAAGGCCCCAGTGGCCCCTGCAGTGAGCTACACTCTGTGAAGCACAGCTGGGCAAAATTCCGTTATTAATCTCCATCTTTAGTGTCCTCAGCAGCCCAGGAGGGCTCACATGGGAGCTCTGAGAGATGGGGGATCCCTTCGGTGACCTGGCAACTCAGGAACCCGCAGGGCAGTAGGGAGGGGGCCGGTGCCCCTAGCTCGGCCTCCAGGGCCGCGTGTGTAAATTCACGCACTGCAGGGCTGACTTTAACCCGTTATTCTTTCATTTCACGTTTTCTCGTGCACGCGTGTCTACATACGCCCTCCGATGTTGTCATTACCTATTGTTTGTTTCTGTCTTGTTTGCATATAAAAATGGGACTTTAAAATCAATATGAGTACTATGGTTTTTAAATTCTCATACAGAAATGTATGCTTGAATCAAAGGAAGGTTTCGAGATCCACGGGTAAAAAGCCCTACTTCATCACAAGGGCGTGTTAGAAGGACTGTTGGAGAGAGCAGGGTGTGGCACGTGGTCCGGGACTTCTGTCTCTAAGCCGTCCCCTATGCACTTGCTCCAAGAGGTGGGGCCCAAGGGTGTTCCGTTTTTTACTGAGATATTTACATTAACATTCATCTTTATAGTTTTGGTGTATGATAAAATAATATGATGAAAACACTTTGTAGGTTAAATTCTATAAACATAAAAAACATATAAAAAGTTTTCAAGAGGAAACTTTTCATAATAATAAATACTCATAAATTTAAAAAAATTGGATATTCATAAACAGATACATTTATCACTCTGAAATACTCCACATGTGCTATTCACAATAATAAATACTGCACAGTAATGTGTGTATATACCTGGCACCTAGCAGAAATATAAGGTAAGATATGATTAGACGCCAGTTACAGACTGCAATGTGGAAAGATATCAATATCTATAGATATAAATGGATATAGATATAAACAGACAGAAAGGTATAGATATCAATATCTTTCCACTTGGTTCTGTTTCTCTTGAGAACTCTAATACATTCAGAACTATTGAGAAAGTCCATATCCCCAGACCCAGGTGCACAGGCCATGCCTAAGACTCAGGCTGGACCAGAACAAGAGACACTTCTGCCTGCTCCTACACACCACAGAAGCACTGAGTGATTAGTACCAGCAGTCCATCATGGGCCTGGACATACTCTGGGAGGCAGAGTTGTGTAGGGATGACTGGCAGCTGAAGGTCAATGGGATGAGAACACTGAGTAAAACCACATGGCATCTGAATGTGCACCCTAAACCAAGCATCTTAGAGAAAAACAGATCCTAAGCTGTTCCATCGATAATTATAGCAACAATCCCAACCCAGTCGAACCCCTGGTGGGCTAACTCAAACCCCACACTAGCAGCCTGATGGAGGAAAAGGGATTCTGTATCTAGGCAGCATCAATATTATTAATTTCATTTTCTACTTTCCTTCTATGTTTACAATTTAATAAAATTATGAAACTTGTTTTAAAAGCAGGAAAACAATAATAAAACACAATCAAAAGAGCAGACTCAGAAACAGTCCAGAAGCTGAACAGGGATTTTAAAATAACAACAAGGACTGAAAAAAAAAACCCAAAAACTGAACAACATGAAATAAAAGATGGGGAAATTTCAACAGACAGATTAAAACCATGAGAATCAAACATAAGTGGTAGAAATCAAAAGCACTATCAGAGATGAAGTGTTCCTTAGCAGGTATATCAATCAACACGATTGACTCAACACAAGTCAGTGAATTTAAAGTGAAGAGAAGAGAAATCCTCCAAGTGAAAACAAAAGTTAAAAATGAGTGAGAAAAAGAGAACAGACTATCTGGGAGCTGCAAAGCAAATCAAACAGGTTAACGCACATGGATCTGAAGTACCAGAAGAAGAAAAAAAGAGAGAATGAACAGAAGAAATATTTGAAGAGGTAATGGTTCAGATGTTTCTAAAAACAATGGAAGACACCAAGACACAGATCCAAGAGTCCCAGAGAAGCTTCAGCAGGATAAATACAGAAAGAAACAAACATCTAGGCACTTCATATTCAAACTGCTAAAAACCAAAGATAAAGAAGAAAATTAAAAATAATTATATTAGAGAAATAAAGATTGTAATTCTAGATGATTCCTTGTCAGAGTTGCAATCCAGAAGGCAATTGAATGACGTCTTTATATTACTGAAAGAACAAGTGTCAACCCAGAGTTCAATAAGCAATAAAAATAGCTTTCAAATATAAAGGTGAGGTAAAGGCTGTCTCACAAAAGCTAAGAAGATTCACTGTCACCCTTCCTGACCTACAACAAATATTGAAGAAATTCATTGGCTACAAGGAATGAAGGTAATACCAAACAGAAATTTGTATAGCACATGTTGCCTGTCATCTGTGTATTAGACACCTGGCCCTTCTTCCTGATTATGGAAACTATAGTTCTGCTGATAAAAGTGATGTATCGTGTGAAATACTAAACCACACAGTGTTTCTTGCTGCTGTGGCAGCCACATGACCAAGAGATAGAAGCCAAAGTCTTGGGGGATTTCCGAGTTTGCTTTCTTTTGTAATACAAGTAACATCCTGACTTCCTTATTCTTTCTTTCCTTTAAGTTTAATTATTTATTTTGAGAGAGAGAGAGAGAGGAGGGAAGGGGGGGGAGGGAGAAGACCTCAAGATGGCTTTACGCTGTCAGTGCAGAGCCTAACACTGGGCTCGATCTAGGAACCACGAGATCATGACCTGAGCCAAAACCAAGAATTGGGCGCTTAACTGACTGAACCACTCAGGAGCCACTATCTTCCTTATTGTTTCTATCTTCTTTCCATCTGTAAGGCAGAGGTGAAGCAGTCATCTTGCTACTTTGAGATAAAAGTCAGTTGCAAAGAATGGTGGAGCAGGTAAGGAGACAAAAATCAAGCTATCAAGTTCTTTGGAGAATTATATCACCATTTTTTTTGGCATCAAATTTGAACCTTTTGCTTGTTAAGCCACTTTAGTGGCTTACATGCAACCCAACACACTGCAGCTGGTATTCCAGGACTGAATGAGAGTCACTGCCAGACCAGCCAGAGCAGGAGCCAAGTTGCCTGAGGCCAGCCAATGAGCCCTCCAAAGTGCACTGCCTGAACTGAGAAATTAACTCTGGGTAACGCTAGCTTGTGGACTCATTGCTGGGGATCAGAAGGACTTGAATGACTGAGAAACAGGGGACTCCATCCAACAGTAGAGGATGGGATCTCATCCTTCTCAACAAACTCCAATGTCACATAGGCGTCTATCTCCCACTGAAGGAGAGGAATATGAT